GTTAAGCTTTCATTTCCTTCCCTCATTGCTCCTATTCCCATAGCCTTTTCTGTCCATAGTTGGCCTACTAAGTCTATAAAGAACCTCCAATAAAGCTAAGAGATGTGATAAAGTTATCCCAATTAGGTTTTTTTTTTTGGACCAACATCTACTAGTCTACTGTGTGCTGGGATTTAGAGAAGCAAACCTAGGACTGAGGCGGAGTCGAGTGGCTGAACAAATAGTAATGTGTATGTGTGTGAGTGAGGGGGGGGGGAAGGGAGATACGGGGTGGGGGGACCTGTTGGGTCTGTCCTTCAAGTGCTTAGCCTCCCAGGTTTCTCTCTGGCTGTCTTTCTTCTCTTCTCTGGACTCCACAGGATCCACAGCAGATCCCCCTGCCAAATATTCTTAGTCTCCTTTTCATGTTCACAAGAGAGAGGTGTGCATCTCTCTGCACACCTCTAGGAGCACTCATGCTTTTTGGTGGTCCCCTCCAACAGCCCAGTGTGATTGGAATGATCCTCTTGGTTCCAGTATGTTGGTGATGATGGTGGTGAAACTGAGACAAAGTTCTTCCTCAGAGCCATACCACTTGGACAGCCTCATCTTGAGAAGTAGATACATTTTTTCCATGTAGGACCCAGGATCACATATGGATTCATGGATTCAAGTTGCCTTTTTCAGATGCCTGGAATATCTCAAGGCATGGAAGTGTCTCCATGCACTCAAACATGTGGCCTGGACTCCATAAATGTTTGTGCTTGAATTTCAGTTGTGGCAGTAGATCCCTGTTCTTCACATTAGAACCTGTTCTTCACTTTTTATTCTGTGTGTGAAAGAGAGAGAACGAGAGAACTGAAACAGTGCAAGCTTAATTCACTGCAGGGCTTTGAGAACATCTTAATTTCTCCCTCAAAAGGAGAGAAACTAGAATTACAGCTAAGCTCAGGCTCCCTTCCCCTTAGAATAGGAGACTCAGAATAAATTACTGTTATGATCAAACAAAGGCAAATGCCATCCTTGGGAGCCAATTTCTCCCCCTGGATGACTCCCCAGGGTATGCAGTTAGGGTGGGCGGGTATTCATGTTTGTGTGATTTATTGTTTGGGGACAGTTAATTGCCTTTCAAATGTTTCCTGGAAATATATTTTTATTATGATTTCTGTTTCTCTTGTGTTACCTTGAAGAGAGAAAGAAGTGAGAGGAGCTGCTGGGGGTGTGTTTACTGGCATGATATGGGCCTGCTAAGCAAGGGCTGAGTCTTCAATGAGGAAACCCTTTCTCTCAGACCTTGGATGGTGACAGGGAGGGCAACTGGGGCAGACCTGCCTCTTCCCCCTTTACACCCTGATGGCTCAGGGATTTAATGTCCTCCTGTGGAGAGAGAAAATGTTCTCTCTGGCATTAGCTCTCTGCCACCTTCAGTCTTTCTCCAAGCCCACAGCTCCCCAAAATGCATGGGAAACTCACCCCACTGTCTGGGTATCTCATTCACTTTCCTAGTGAGACAGAAAGGCAATGAATGGCCAAGGGAAGGCAAAGGCAGTCTAGGAAAGGAAAGGGGAAGGCAAAGGGAAGGGAAGGCAAAGGCAAAAGCTAGGCAAGGCAAAAGACAAGGCAAAGGGAAGGAAAAAAGGAAAGCACAGGGAATAATAGAATAATAGAGCTGGAAGAGGCCACATGGGCCATCGAGCCCCATTCTCTACCATGCAGGCAAAGCACAAAGTACCCCTGACAGATGGCCATCCAGCCTCTGTTTAAAAGCTCCCAAGGAAGGAGCTTCCTCCACACTCAGAGGCAGAGAGCTCCACTGTTGGAACAGCTCTTATGTTCAGGAAGTTCTTACTAATGTTCAGGTAGAATATCCTTTCCTGTAATTTGAACCCATTGCTCCGAGTCCTAGTTTCAAGGGCAGCAGAAAACAAGCCTGCTCCCTCTTCTTTATGGCATCCTTTCACATATTTATACATGGCTATCATGTCTCCTCTCAACCTTCTCTCCTGCAGCCTAAACACACCCAGTTCTTTCAGATGTTCCTCATAGGGATTCATGGTATCCAGATATTTGATCATTTTAGTTGCCCTCCTTTGGAGACCTTCCAGTTTGTCTATATCTCTTTTGAACTGTGGTGACCAGAGTTGGACACAGTGTGATTCCAGGTGAGGTCTAACCAAAGCAGAATTCAAATGCACCATGGTTTCCCTCAGTCTAGACACTATATTCCTTTTGATGCAGCCCAAAATTCCATTGGCTTTTAAAGCTGCTGCATCACACTGTTGACTCACATTCAACTTGGTGTCCACAAAAACTCCAAGATCTTTTTCACATGTACTGATGTCAAGCCAGGCATCGCCCATTCTGTATCTTTGCATTTCATTTTTTTTCTGCTTAAGTGTAATACCTTACATTTATTGAAATTCATTTTGTTAGTTTTGACCCAGCTCTCTAATTTGTTAAGGTCATTTTGAATTCTGAACCTGTCCTCTGGAATATTAGCTATCCCTCCTGATCCACTGTCATCTGCAAACTGGATAAGCACATCCTCTAAGCCTTCATCCAAGTCATTAATAAAGATGTTGAGCAGTACTGGGCCCAGGACCGAACCCTTCAGCACCCCACTTGTCAATTCTTTCCATGATACTGTTGAGCAAGGCATCACCCATTCTGCATCTTTGCATTTCATTTTTTCTACCTAAGTGTAGTATCTTACATTTGTCCTTGTTGAAATTCATTTTGTTATTTTTGGCTCAGCTCTCTGGGCCAAAGGCAAAGGCAAAAAGCAAAAGCTAGGCAAGGCAATAGACAAGGAAAGGCATGGCAAGGCAAGGCAAAAGAAAAGCAAAGGCAAAAGCTAGGCAAAAGATAAGGCAAAGTCTAGGCAAGGCAATAATAACTTTATTTTTATACCCTGCCTCCATCTTCCCGAAGAGACTAGAGGCAGCTTACATATGGCAATAGACAAGGCAAAGGCAAAAGACAAGGCAAAGAAAAGCAAAGGGAAAGGCAAAGGCTTGGCAAGGCAAGGCAAAAGATGAGGCAAAGGCAAGGCAATAGACAAGGCAAAGGCAAAAGAAAGGCAAAGCAAAGCAAAGGGAAAGTGAGGGTGAAGGCTAGGCAAGGCAAGGCAAAAGACAAGGCAAAGGCAAGGCATGACAAAGGCAAAGCAAAGTCAATAGACAAGTCAAAGGCAAAAAACAAGGCAAAGAAAGCAAAGGGAAGGCAAGAGCTAGTCAAAGCAAGGCAAGGCAAAGCAAAGGCAAGGCATGGCAAAGGCAAAGTGAAGGCAAAAGACAAGGCAATGCAAGGCAATAGACAAGGCAAAGGCAAAACAAAGGCAAAGGAAAGCAAAGGGAAGGTGAAGGCAAAGGCTAGGCTAGGCAAAGCAAAAGATGAGGCAAAGGCAAGGCATGGCAAAGGCAAAGTGAAGTCAATAGAAAAGGCAAAGGCAAAAAACAAGGCAAAGGAAAGCAAAGGGAAGGTAAAAGCTAGTCAAAGCAAGGCAAGGCAAGGCAAGGCAAGGCAAGGCAAAGGCAAGGCATGGCAAAGGCAAAGTGAAGGCAAAAGACAAGGCAAAGGCAAGGCAAGGCAAGGCAATAGACAAGGCAAAGGAAAGCAAAGGGAAGGTGAAGGCCAGGGCTAGGCAAGGCAAGACAAAAGATGAGGCAAAGGCAAGGCAAGGCAAAGGCTAAGTGAAGGCAAAAGACAAGGCAAAGGAAAGCAAAAGGATGGCAAAGGCGAGGGCTAGGCAAGGGAAGGCAAAAGATGAGGCAAAGGCATGGTAAAAGCAAAGTGAAGGCAAAAGACAAGGCAAAGGTAAGCTAAGGAAAGGCGAAGGCAAGGCAAAGGAAGGCAAAAGAAAAGGCAAGGCAATGGATAAGGCAAAAGCAAAAGACAAGGCAAAGGAAAGCAAAGGGAAGGCAAAGGCTAGTCAAGGCAAAGCGAAGGCTAGGCAAGGCAAAGGCAAGGCAAGGCATGGCAAAGGCAAAAGACAAGGCAAAGGCAAGGCAATAGATAAGACAAAGCAAAAGGTAAGAGCTGGTCAAAGCAAGGCATGGCAAAGGCAAAGTGAAGGCAAAAGACAAGGCAAATGCTAAGCAAGGCAAAAGACAAGGCAAAGGAAAGCAAAGAGAAGGTGAAGGCAAGGCACGGCAAGGCAAAAGACGAGCCAGAGGAAAGCAAAGGAAAGCAAAGGTGAAGGAGGAGGCACGGCAAAGCAAGGCAAAAGGGGAGCGTCCGTTTTGTTCCCGTGTTCCTCCTGCCGTGGAAGAGGCGCCTCAGGTGCCCGAAGCGGGAGAAGATCTGGGCTCTGCCTGTGTTGCGGCGGCGCGCGGGCCAAGGCAAGCCCCCCGTTCCCTCCCCCCGTTCCCTCCCCCGATGCGCGTTGGGCAGAGAGTATCAGTGCTCAGCTCAATCTCCTCGGAAATCTGCGCCGCTTGGCAATCCCCTAAGTAGGTGGTTAAGGGATTAGCCGGCGCTTTAATCAACTCCGGCTCGGGAGGGTTGGGAATCGGGGAGGGAGGGGCGCCTCCCGCCCCAACAGGCCCCGGTTCAAGGGAAGTTCTCCCAAGCTGGGCGCTCCTTGGGGCTTCCTCCTCTCCCTCCGTCCTCGGGCGGCATCAGGACTCGGGAAGAGAGAGAGAGAGACGCCGAGATGGAGAGAAGCGCTTCCTTCTTTCCTCCCTTCTTTCCTTTCTCTCTCTCTCCCGGCCTCAGCCTCTTGATCCGCCTGTCTGGGATGTAATCCCCTTCTCCGGTAATTAAAAAAAACACACATACCAAAAAACAACAAAAACATATCAGCATTACAAGGCCAGTGGCGCGCGGGGGAATGTAATCAATTCTGGAGGAGCTTAACCATCTGGGAGAGGTTAAATCCACGCGGTGGGTTATGGGGTCCGGGAGCCCTCGAGGGGATGGGGGTTCGCGATGTGTTTCATCCTGGGCTTCGGGCCACCCCGAGTTCGCCAGAGGGGAACTTTGTTTTGGGGGCGGAGGAAAAAGAGAGGGCGTGAGAGAGAGAGAGAGAGAGGGGGAGGGAATGAGGGGGATCCAGTCCCCCAAACCGGGACTCCTCGCTCTCCAAAGGCTGAAGATGCGGGGAAAAGAGCGGAGCTTTCCCTGCCTGGCTCCGGGCTGCCCTGCCTCTCTCTCTCTCTCTCTCCTCTCTTGCTTTCCCGCTCTTTTTCCCCCGGCGCGCAAGGGGTTAACCTTCCCTCCCGCCCTCGTCGACGGCGCTGTCCACCAATGCGGTGCTGAAATGAGGCGCCGAGCCCTCCCTCGCTGCTCTGCCTTCCCTCCTCTCTCTCTCTGGCGCTGCCTTCAGCCCAAAGTCCTCTTGGCAAGTCCGAGCGAGGCTGCGTGCTCCCTTCCTCTCCCTCGCTTCTTCCCCGATGCTTCCTCCTTGGCGAGGCGGCGGCGGGGGCGGCGGCGGGGCTCCCCGGCTGGCTCTGCTGCTGGCGGGGCTGGCCGGGTGCTGCCTGGCGGCGTCCCAGCTGCGCTACTCAGTGCCGGAGGAGCTGGAGCACGGCGCCTTCGTGGCCAACCTGGCCGAGGACCTGGGGCTGGACGTGGCGGCGCTGTCGGCGCGGCGGCTGCGCCTGGTCTCTCGGGCGGGGGCCAAGCAGCACCTGGAGGTCAACCTGGAGAACGGGATCCTCTTCGTGAACGAGAAGGTGGACCGCGAGGAGCTGTGCGGGGCCCCGGGCGAGGGCGGAGAGGGCGAGGGCGGCGCCGGGGGCCAGCCCTGCCTCCTCCGCCTCCAGCTGGTGGTAGAGTCCCCGCTCGAGCTGTTCCGCGTGGAGGTGGAGGTGCTGGACATCAACGACAACGCGCCGCGCTTCCCCTGGCCGGAGTTCGTGCTGGAGGTGGCGGAGTCGGCGCTGCCGGGGGCGCGCTTCCCCCTCGAGAGCGCGCACGACCCCGACGTGGGCCCCAACGGGCTACGCACTTACCGCCTGGGCCCCAACGAGGGCTTCTTCTCGCTGGCCGTGCAGGCGCGGCGCGACGGGAGCAAGTTCGCCGAGCTGGTGCTGGAGCGCGCCCTCGACCGCGAGGCCCGGCGCAGCCACCGCCTGCTGCTGACCGCGCTGGACGGCGGGCGGCCCGAGCGCTCGGGCACGGCGCGCGTCACCGTGGCTGTCCTCGACGCCAACGACAACGTCCCCGTCTTCGACCGGCCCTCTTACAGCGCTAGCTTGCCGGAGGACGCCCCGCCGGGGACGCTGGTGGTCCGGCTCAACGCCTCGGACGCCGACGAGGGCGCCAACGGAGAGGTGGAGTACGCCCTCAGCGGGCACGCGCCCCCGGCCGCGCGGGAGCTCTTCAGCGTGGAGCCCCGCGGAGGGCGCGTACGGCTCCGGGCCCCGCTGGACTACGAACGCGCCCCCATGCACGAGCTCTTCGTCCAGGCCAAGGACCGGGGCCCCTCCGCCGTCGCTGTCCACTGCCGCGTCCTCGTCCAGCTCCTCGATGTCAACGACAACGCGCCCGAGGTCACGCTCACCTCGCTGGCGGCGCCCGTGTTGGAGGACGCCCCGCCGGGCACCGTGGTCGCCGTCATCAGCGTGCGCGACCGCGACTCCGGCGACAACGGGCGCGTGAGCTGCGAGATCCCCGACGGGCTGCCTTTCCGGCTCCGTCCCTCCTTCCCGGACTACTACACGCTCGAGACGGCCGCCGAGCTGGACCGCGAGACGGTGGCGGAGTACAACGTGACATTGACAGCGCGGGATGCGGGATCCCCAGCGCTGTCCACGCGGCGGACGCTCACGGTGCCGGTTTCGGACGTGAACGACAACGCGCCGCGCTTCCTCCAGCCCTCGTACCGTGTCTACGTGGCTGAGAACAACGCTCCGGGTGCCTCGTTGTGCTCTGTTTCGGCCCGCGACCCGGACGCCCAGCAGAATGGCTACCTGTCCTACGCGCTGGCTGAGGGGCGCATCCGGGGCATGCCGGTGGGAACCTACCTCTCCGTTAACGCCGACAGCGGCCACGTCTATGCTCTGCGCTCCCTCGACTATGAACAGCTGCGCGACTTCCGAGTCCAGGTAGTAGCCCAGGACGCGGGCTTCCCTCCCCGGAGCGGCAACGCCACCCTCCACGTCTTCGTCCTGGACCAGAACGACAACGCGCCCGTCATCGTGGCCCCCGCGCCCCGCAACAACGCCTCCTCCTCCGAAGCGGAGCTGGAGATCCCACGCTCCGCCGAGGCCGGCTTCCTCGTGGGGAAAGTCTCCGCCCGCGACGCCGACTCCGGCCAGAACGCGCGGCTCTCTTTCCAGCTCGTGGGTGGGGGCGGCGAGGGCCTTTTCGGCGTGGCGCCCCACTCGGGAGAGATCCGCACCTTGCGCGCCTTCCGCGAGGGAGACCCCGCGAGGCACCGTCTCCTCGTCCAAGTCCGCGACCACGGGCAGCCCTCGCTCTCCACCTCCGTGGCTTTGCTGCTCTCCCTGGTGGACGGCGACGCGGAAGAGACGGGCCACGAGCCCCGCGACGAGCCCGCCGAGGCTGCCTCCGCCCCGCCGCTCACGCTCTACCTCATCGTCTCGCTGGGCTCCGTCTCCTTCACCTTCCTGGTCGCCATCGTGGTGCTGGCCGCCGTCAAGTGCCGCAAGGAGCGGCTCAGCTTGGCCTGCGCGCTGGGGCCCTGCGCGGGGAGGAGGAGCGGGGCCGGAGAGGAAGGGGGGCCCCCGGAGCCCTTCAAGGGCGCCAACAACAACCAGGCCCCGCCCCCCAGCGCCCTGGAAGGGGAAGGCGGCGCGTCGGGGGCGCCCCCGGGCTACTGCTACAAGGTCTGCCTCACCCCGGAGTCGGCCAAGAGCGACTTCATGTTCCTGAAGCCCTACAGCCCCAGCCCGCCCAGGAACAACCACAAACAGAAACTGGGGGGCCCCGAGAAGCAGCCGCCGCCTGGGAAGGGGTCCCGGGGCGCCCCCAGCAACCACAACCACAACACCAGTAGCACTGCGCAGGTAACTGCCCCAGAGAGAGAGAGACAGAGGCAAATCAGGATGGGGAAGCACTCCCATCCAGGGCCACATCAGCCTTCTAAGGCTTATGTTGTGGAAGGCTTTCATGGCTGAAATCATTGGTTTGCTTATGAATTTTCTGGACTGTATGGCCATGTTTCAGAAACATTCTCTCCTGATGTTTTGCCCACATCTATGGCAGGCATCCTCAGAGGTTGAGTGGTCTGTTAGAAACTAGGCATGTAGGGTTTATATATTGGTGGGAGAAAGAACTCTTGTCTGTTGGAGGCGAGTGTGAATGTTACAATTAGCCACCTTGATTAGCACTGAATAGCCTGGCAGCTTCAGAGCCTGACTGCTTCCTGCCTGGGGAAGGGAACTATTTTATTAAGAGGTGTTAGCTGGCCCTGATTTTGTTCATTAAACAACATTCAAAAAAAGGGAAATCCAGGCAGGAAACAATCAGGGCCAGCTAACACCTCCCAACAAAGGATTTCCCCAAGCAGCAACCAGCCAGGCTTTGAAGTTGTAAGGCTATTCAATGGTAATCAAGCTGGCCAATTGCAACCTGAAGATGGGGGCAAGATCCTTGAAAATGTGAGAGCCGCCACATGTGTATTAAACCCTTGCTTTCTCTGGCTAGCTGAACAGACCGGAGGAGCACTAGCTGAATGGATAAGCGAAGTGATTAATGCTTCTTTGTAACAAGGCAGAATCCCAACAACTCAGTATATATACACACACACACACATATACATACACACATTCACAATCAAGGTGGCCAATTACAACATTCACACCTGCCTCAAACAGACAAGAGTTATTTCTTCCACTGTGGACATTCCATATCTATCTATGTCTATCTGTCTATCTGTCCTATCTATCTATCTATCTGATCTGTGGAATAATGTCCAGGGTGGAAGAAAGAACTCTTGTCTGTTTGATGCAGGTGTGAATGCTGCAGTTGACCACCTTGATTAGAATTAAATGGCCTTGCAGCTTCCAGGTCTGGTTGCTTCCTGCCAGGGGGAATCCTATGTTGGGAGGTGTTAGTTGGCACTGATTGTTTCCTGTCTGGAATTCCCCTGTTTTCAGAGTGTTGTTCTTTCTTTACTATTCTGATTTTAGAGTTTTTTAAAATTTGTTGTTCATTTTTATGGTTTTCTCCTTTCTGTTGAAATTGTCCAATTGATTAGCATTGAATGGCCTTGCAGTTTCAAGGTCTGGCTACTTCCTGCCTGGGGGAATCCTTTGTTGGGAGGTGTTAGCTGGCACTGATTGTTTCCTGCCTGGAATTCGGAGTGTTGCTCTTTATTTACTATCCTGATTTTAGAGGGTTTTTTTAAAATACTAGTAGCCATATTTTGTTCATGTTCATGGTTTCCACCTTTCTGTTGAATTTCAGCGGATTTGCTTGTGGATATCAGTGGTCTCTCTGTGTAGTCTGACATGGTAGTAGTAAGAGTGGACCAGCATTTCTGTGTATCTCTTCAGGAGTCTACCGTATCCCATGCAGCTGTGGACAAGTCTACATAGGGACCACCAAACACAGCATTGCCCAAACATGAATCAAGGAACATGAAAGCCACTGCAGACTAACTCAACCTGGAGAGTCAGCCATAGCAGAGCACCCCATGAACCAACCTGGACACAGCATATTATTTGAGAACACAGAAATGCTGGACCACTCTCACAACCACCATGTCAGACTACACAGAGAAGCCATTGAAATCCACAAGCATGTGGACAATTTCAACAGAAAGGGAAGAGACCATGAAAATGAACAAAAACTGGCTACCAGTATTAAATAACTCTAGAATCAGGACAATACATAAAGAACAACACTCAAAAAGCAGGGGAATTCCAGACAGGAAACAATCGGGGCCAGCTAACACCTTGCAACAAATTTATTGATTTATTTATTTCATGCATTTCTACCCTGCCCTTCTCCCCCCTAAGGGGGACTCAGGTCTGCCTTACACAAGCATCATATGATGCTATCAGCATATAAACAATCAAAAATTACATTTAAAACACATTCTACAATTCATTAAACAATAAATTAAACATGCCAATTAAAACCAAATCTGGGTAAATCCAATGTCGCAGATATCCTAAGTTTCTTTCCAATTGCCACTGTCCACTAATCGAACGTCTGGTCCCAAAGCCAAGTCTTCAATTGTCTTCTAAAGGACAGGAGGGAGGTGGCCAACCTGATTTCCTTAGGGAGAGAGATCCACAGATGGGGGCTACTGCTGAGAAGGCCCTGTCTCTCATCCCCACCAGTGTTTGCAAAAGTGGTGGGATCGAGAGCAGGGCCTCTCCTGATGATCTTAAGCTTCGTGATGGTTCGTAACAGGAGATACGTTTGGACAGGTAATCTAGGCCAGAACAAAAGATTCCCCCAGGCAGCAACCAGCCAGGTTTTGAAGCTGCTAGGCAATTCAATGCTAATCAAGGTGGCCAATTGCACCATTCACTCTTGCCTCAAGAGTTCTTTCTCCCACCGTGAACATGCCACAGATATATAAACCTCACTTGCCTCGTTTCCAACTGACCTCACAACTTCTGAGGATGCCTCTCATAGATGTGGGCGAAATGTCAGGAGAGAATGCTTCTGGAACATGACAACACAATAATAGAATAATAGAATCACAAAGTTGGAATTGACCTCATGGGCCATCCAGTCCAACAATTTCCCAAGAAGGAGGAAAATTGCATTCAAAGCACCCCCGACAGATGGCCATCCAGCTTCTGTATAAAAGCTTACAAAGAAGGAGCCTCTACCACACACTCTGGGGGCAGAGAGTTCCACTGCTGAACAGCTCTCACAGTCAGGAAGTTCTTTCTAATGTTTAGGTGGAATCTCCTTTCTTGTAGTTTGAAGCCATTGTTCTGCGTCCTAGTCTCCAGTATAAAGACCTTCCTCTCAGGTATTTATACATGGCTATCATGTCTCCTCTCAGCCTTCTCTTTTTCAGGCTAAACATGCCCAGCTCTTTAAGCCGCTCCTCATAGGCCTTGTTCTCCAGACCCTTGATCATTTTAGTCACTCTAAAACTCATAGCAACTCAGTGATTCTGGCCATGAAAGCCTTTGACAGCACAGTTAAATGACAGTCAGACATATCCACAAGAGTTGTATCTAAATTCTAAATCCGAACCCCTCTTTCCTGACTCAACAATACACTTCTGTGTATCCTGATGTTTAAAGATGAGGAGGAAGAGCAGTCGAGCATCTGGAGGGCCACAGAAAATGACTTGAGTCTAGTCTAGGCCAAGGAGGGGAATCTCTCTCTCTCTCTCTCTCTCTCTCTCTCTCTCCCCCCCCCCCCCCCCCCCCCCCGTGTTTGCCTGACATAAAGACACATGCAATCCATTCTAGGAGAAACAAAAAGAACCAAAGGTAGCCAAAGTGGGCGCGCGAGTGCTTCTTTAATCTGTCCGTAACAAACCTAAATTTTAAAAAAATAATTAGCCGGGCCCTTTGATCAAGTAGTCAACACACAGTCGACACTAGTAAAGCCACAATACGACAGCAAGGGAGATGGGGAAAGGGGGAAAAAGGAAGCCTCCGCTGCGCTCCTGCCGCCGCTTCTTCTTGGCGTTTTAGTTAATTATTTTGAAAACGTCAGGCTCGTTTTAAATGAGCGGGACGAGAGCGGAAAAGCGCTCGGAAGGAGCGAGGCTGGGGCGCCCATTAAGGATGGCGAGGGGGAGGGAGGGAGGGAGGGCGGAAGCCGGGAGGGGCGCTCTCGGGAGGGGTGACAGCTCCCCTCCCCTGACTGACTGACACCCCGCGCCCCCTCCCCTCTCCCCCCCCCCCAACCCTCTGCCCTAAGGAGTAGCTAAGGAGGCCCTCCAGGGGCTGGACTGCCACTCCTGGACTCCTCCTCATTGGGCATCACGATGGGAGTTGGGATACAAACACCTCTGGAAGGCTGCAGTTTGTTCTGTTTGCTCTGCTTGTGGAGGTGATGCCTGGCTTTCAAATGCCTTGTGACCTTTCCCCAACCTCAGAGCCACAAGTGTTGCTGGGCTGCAATCCCCATTATCCCCAGTCAGCATGGCGGGTGATAATAGAAAGCCATGGGGGTGTCCTTCAATAACATTTGGGGGCCAAAACTGGGCAAAAACTGAGCACCAACCACTATGCATGTGTGTGTGTGTATAGATATACACACATAAACACATACATACACAGACACATACACACTAAGAGCATCCGCCACTATGTATGTGTTTAGACATACACACACACTATATATACTAAAGAACACCCACCACTATGTGAGTACATATATATACACACACACACATTCACAGACTATTTAATAAAGAGCACCCACCACTATGTATGTGTAAATACACACATACATGCATACACTATATACTAAACAGCACCCACCACTAGGTATTTGTACACACACACACATACTATATACTAAAGAGCACCCACCACTATGTATGCTTATAAACACACACACACTCTATATACTAAAGAGCACCCACCACTATGTGAGTGTGTGTGTGTATACACACACACACATATACACACACTGTATACTAAAGAGCACCCACCACTGTGTGAGTGTGTATACACACACACACATATACACACATACACACACTGCATACTAAAGAGCACCCACCACTATGTGAGTGTGTGTATGTGTATAAACACACACACACTATATACTAAAGAGCACCCATCACTAGATGAGTATTCACACACACACACACACACTATATACTAAAGAGTACCCACCCCTATGTATGTGTATACACACACACTATATATATACTAAAGCGCACCCACCACTATGTGAATATATATACACATACACACAATATGTGGTGGAGGCTCCTTTTTTGGAGACTTTTAAGTAGAGGTTGGATGGACATCTGTTGGGGGTGCTTTGAATGCAGGGGGTTGGACTGGATGGCCCACAAGGTCTCTTCCAACTTAATGATTCTATGATTCTATGATGCTACACACACACA